TCACAGGGACCACATTGCCAGCCATAGAGAATATCTAGAAGAAACACTGTCTGCGCTGAGCACGCAGTATTCTTAAGGACAACTCTCACCCTGCACACAGACTGTTTTCACTCCTGCCTTCCGGCAGGCGCTTCAGGCTCCCCCAGACAAAAACCACCAGACTGAGGAACAGCTTTTTTCCCCAGAGCTGAACTCTGCACCCCACTGACTCTTTTTACCCCCAATACATCCCCCACTCTCCACTAACTTATACTCCTCACAATCACTGCACTGTTTAACATTTGCACATTTAAAATTTGCACATATTCATTGCACTACATTGCACAGATTCAATTATTTGAACTCTACATACCCACAGCACATGGACATTTGTAATCATGTTTATCTATCTGCACACTTCTGATTATTAATAGCAACCTATACATATATTCATTTATTGTAAATCTCTGTTCATAGCTAAAACAACCTGTATACAATGTTCATAGTAAATCCATCTGTAAATATCGCTATTTTTTTATAACTGCACTTTATAACTTATAATTGTATCCTGCACTTGCTGCTAGTGCACTGCTGGTTAGACCTGAACTGCATTTTGTTACATTGTACTTATGACAATAAAGTTGAATCTAATCTAATCTAATCTAATATGTACAGAGCATCAAATCATCCCAAGAAATGATTTCTTTCCACCATGTCAACATTTTTTATACATATTAGAAACTACAGATTGAAGATTATATAATTATTCTAAACCACAAATAAATGTAATAATAATTATAACCACTATGATAAGAATGACAATAATAATTGTATTATTAGTAGTATTTATATTTACATGGTATCCTATTTTTAATTACAATACAAGTATCTCTCATTTCTCATATGGCACCTGTCACATGTTTGCCTGGTCCTCTGTTTCTTTGTTCTGTTTTCCTGATGCAATTATCTGCTCACAGGTTTTTATTTTGTTAATCTTTACCCAGTGTATGTCGTCCATGTCAGTGTCAGGTCTCGTCCATATTGTGCATGTTAGCCCTTTATTGTATTATTAAAGAGCTTACTCTCATCACTCTTGTTTGAGATCACGGAACACACAAGTGATAAGTCTATAGAACTGAACAACACTACCCAAGCAAAGCTGCCTTTGGAAAGTCCTCAAGGATGCGTTACTGTGTTCGTAGAGTGGGTGCTGGTGAACAATGGAACCAATTTCACCACTGACCCCATTGAAGAGGACTTCACAGATCAAGATCCAGAATTTAGTCTGTGATCCATCACCCCACTTTTAAAGCATAATTCAATGCATCAATGCATCGCAATTATTTCTCTTAAGATACTGGATTGATACTTAAAAGTTCAGAATAGATGTTTTATTCAAATTTGATTGTGAGGATTTGGGCCTGTGCAGGCATAAGCTCTAAACAGAAAAAAGTGCTGAGAGGCGCACATACAGGTCCTGCAGAATTTGTTTCAATTGGACAGATGGATACAGTAATTGCAGGCATGGAGCTTCTGATCCTTTGTGTGTCCACATTCCTCACCACAACCGAAAGCAATACCTTGGGTCCTCATCTCGACATGGATAAAAGACCATCACCTGCAGCTCAATCTGACTAAAACAAAACTTCTTGTTTTCCCTGCAACAATATTCATAAATCAATCTGAAGTCAGCTACAAATATCCCTCCCAATTCAGTCAGGAATCTTCGAATGACCTTCGATGACGAGTTATCCTTCAAAGAGCACATTGAGGTTTGCACAATACAGCATCAGAAAAATCTGACCCATCCTCACTGAGCACTCAGCACAGATTCTTATCCAAGTGCTAGGCAATTTCTAGACTAGAGTACCGTAATGCTCTCCTAGCTGGACTCCCATCATCTCTTGTAAAACCACTCTAGTTCCTGCAAAATGATCCAGATCAGCTAAATTTCAACAGCCCCTACAGAGCCCATGTCAAACATCTTTTTATTTCCCTGCACTGGCTACAAGTTGAAGCTTGCAAGCTTTGTATTATTATCACTTGATGCGAGTATGGGATAAATGGATTGATCCCTTCCTGATTGTAAGTTGCTTTGGATAATAATATCTACTAAATGACTTAAGGTGAAGGTATCTAAGCAGGGGAATAGGCTTAGAGGAGGATTTGAGGTAAAACTGAGACTTGACATCCAAATGGGCTAAAACATCATGAAATAATTGTATAAACAAATTTAACTGACAGCTCTAGTTGAAACCCATTCCCCCACATTTAATACCTGGTAATGGTAATGGTATGTGCCGTTCACTGGATGTTGCTTAAAACTTACAGACGTCAGTCGGTGTGTCTGTGAGCTCCAGTAAGGTACTGATTTGAGGCTGGAAGTCTTTTAACTCGTCCCCCTCCACAGTGAACTGCACCACATACTTCAGTCTGATCTGCTCTGTGTTAAACACCACAAACTCATCGTCCTGTCCAATATAAGGCAAAACACAAACCCAAAGGTCACATTAGATCCCAAAACACAAGCAGAGTGTTAAGTACACAGAAAAAGACTAAGAAGAGCACCTCAAATTCAGAAAGTCTGTTGTGCGAGCGGCGGACTCCATGAACGCTGTGGAAGCCGTCAGGAGCACAAGTCAAACTGGTGTCTTTCTTCAGCAGGTCTTTGCACCGACCCAACGCCACTTCACACACCAACAGCAGCCGAGAGCCGTCAGTTACACTGGGCTTGGAGTATTTCACACTGGTCCTTTAAGAGGTAAAGTTATTGAATCACTGTGTAACAAGCTATAATATAGATGTGCCCTAAGTAAAATCATATTATTTATATGTGTTAATGCAATACTAAGACATGATGGTATAACACAACCTATAAATATGAAAAACTGTACATGCTATTAATGCACAAGGCTACTGACTTTAGTGAGTCACTGAAGTAGATTCCTCCTCCAAGATTCCCGATATCCGTCCTCTCAATTCCATGCAGTTCAACTCCAACCCTGGGCAGCAGCAGACCTCTACACACAATATTTAATCAAAATGTACATAAATTTAATGACTTATTAATAAATCAAATTAATTACATATATTATTTAATCAGACAATTTCAGATATGCATGCAGGATTTTGGAGGTACGTGTACTAAATACTGCATAATTGTGTGAGAGCACAATGTTACAAAAGCAGAGATAGGAGTGGATAGTTCTCTGAGTGATTTACTGACTGCACAAATTAAAAAACACAGATGAAGCTGCCCATTTCAGTAATAACCAAGTTCAGTGGCTTTTGGCTGTTAACCAATAGTCAGTTAATATAGCAGTTAATTGACTACCACAACTGGTAAATCATGTGAATCATATTGACTCATAATGCATATTTAATTGTACATGCCAATTTTTTTTGTACATGACAAGTTATTTCTTTTGATTAGCTTATAAGCTTAATCGCAGTCATGTACATACCAAGGAAATAGTTCACTTCCGCATTGAGAATAAGTTGGATTTGCTCTTACCGTGACAGTATTCCAACCAAACTACTAGGACTAGTGGAGTGGAGGAGGGGCTTAATGTTGCCTAACTCCTCCCTAAACATCTGAAGCTCCACCCCTCTGCTGATGCGCACAATCTGCTGAATCTGAACAGGCCTGTAGGTGATATAAGTTTAACACAATTTATGTTATGTAAATACATGAAAATTTCAACCATGCCTGAAAAAATACCACATAACATCACAGTCCAGTTTACCTGTCCTGAAGCAGTTTAGAAACTGCATGAAACTCAGGGTTTTCTGGTGGAACAAAGTCAATGCTGCACCTCAGAGCTCGATACTTTCCCAGAGACGAAGGGGACGGGCTTCCCAGAGTGGCTTCACTCACATTCACAATATCTCTGATCAGCTGGAGACCACAGGAGAATGTTAAGTTCATGTCTTTACTGTTCAACAACAGCCTCGTGATGAAATCCCCCAAGTAAATTATCTTATTGTCTTATATCTCATATGAGCAGTATATTGTAATACTAAAGTCTTAATGGTCCTATTGTGGTATAATAAATGTAATACTATGTTGGTTTACACATTACCTGACAAAGGTCTAGTTTCTGAGACACAAGCTTGTGTTTGGACGGAGGGTCGATTATTCTGAGGGGCAGGAGTGTGTTAACCTCCTCTAGCAGGGCTTTGGCTTCATCTTCATTCTGAGTCTTTTGTGCCTGCAGTAACAATCCTTCCACCCTGCTCACCTGCAACAGCACAGAGACCTTAAACACACTGTAGTAAACAATCCGAATATTCACTGTGTGTGATTAAATAAGCTCCTGCTCACATCATTGAGGCTGATTCTGGACACTGGGACTGTCAGGATGTTATTAAGAGAACCGAGAGCTTCAGTCCAAATCAGCTCCACGAAGACACCAACTTCCTTTGATAATGTGCTGCAGTTCAGCCTCTCCTCCAGCAGAAGCTGCCAATCAATCAGTCACACACACATTTCACACACATTAGACACAAATTATACATAAATCACACACATAAAAATAGATGTTTGTGTTTACCTGCTGCAGGCTGTAAGATGCCAAGTGCTCAACCTCAGCAGGAAGTGTGTGTGTCTTTGTGAATCCCTGAGTCTCCATGTCCTTCATCAGCATCAGATAAGCTTCCACAGCATCTTCAGACGTCTCACAGAAAACAAGCTTGTCCTGGAGCACTGCGGTCTATAGTGAGAAAGAGTCCATCAGCACAAGAGCACAACATTCAGTACCTGCAGTACAATCAGACTCAAATAAGAACAATTTACAATAATAAACAAGTTTCAAGAGCAAACCTCAGCTTCACGCAACACTGAACAGAGCACACGATACTGCTGGCCTGCTCGTCCATTGACACTCTGCAGCTCCAAAACAGACAAAGTCTTGGGTTTTACCTGCAACATAATCAGACAGTTTTAAATTGGTGATGGCTACAATAATCACTTTTAGAAAGAAGTGTTTAAGGGGTCGTTTTTAATAATTTAAGTATTCCCCTGAATTATTTTATGTGGTTGGTGTCAATAAATTGTTATTTTTGAGCTCTGATACGTACAGTATGATTTATAGTGAATTGAATTATTGTACTGACTAAATATAATAGAAAGGCATTGCAATGCTAAAGTACAGCTGAAAAACCCACCGTTCCTTATATAAGTATTCTTTACTGATACAGTTTATTAGAACTGAATGAAAGGAGTTTTAATAATTGTCGTATTTCTGGAGCAGATCTATTTGCTTCAATTTGCAACACTAGACAAACTAAAAAACTTTTTTCATTTAAATTTATCCACAGAGCGGTATACTGATAAAGAAACATGCAGAAGCTGTTCTAATGTCTGCCTGTTTGGTGCTCAGTGATCTGTAGGGCCGGTCAGAGGCCAACAGTTCAAGTGGTATATACACTCACCGGCCACTTTATTAGGTACACCTGTTCAGCTGCTTGTTTACGCAAATTTCTGATCAGCCTATCACATGGCAGCAACTAAATGCATTTAGGCATGTAGACATGGTCAAGACAATCTGCTGCAGTTCAAACTGAGCATCAGAATGGGGAAGAAAGAGGATTAGGGACTTTGAATGTGGCATGTTTGTTCGTGCCAGACAGGCTGCTCTGAGTATTTCAGAAACTGCTTATCTGCTGGGATTTACACGCACAACCATCTCTAGGGTTTACTGAGACTGGTCCAAAAAACAGTAAATATCCAGTGAGTAGCAGTTCAGTGGGCACAAATGCCTTGTTGATGCCAGAGGTCAGAAGAGAATGGCCAGACTGGCTTGAGCTGATAGAAAGATAACAGTGACTTAAATAACCACTCATTACAACTGAGGTATGCAGAAGAGCATCTTTGAATGTACAACATGTCGAACCTTGAGGAGGATGGGCTACAGCAGCAGAAGACTATACCGGGTGCCACACCTGTCAAACTGAGGCTACTATATGCACAGGCTCACCAAAATTGAACAATAGAAGATTGGAAAAACATTGACATCTGATGAATTTCAATTTCTGGTGTGACATTCGGATGGTGGGGTCAGAATTTGGCATCAACAACATGTAAGCATGGATCCATCCTGCCTTTTATCAATGGTTCAGGCTGCTGGTGGTGGTCTAATGGTGTGGGAAATTTTCTTGGCACACTTTGGGCCCATTAGTAGCAACTGAGCATCGTGTCAGCGCCACAGCCTACCTGTCCATTGTTGCTGACCATGTCCATCCCTTTATGACTACAGTGTACCCATCTAATGATGGCTACTTCCAGCAGGATAACGCACCATGCCATAAAGCGCAAACCATCTCAGGCTGGTTTCTTGAACATGACAATGAGTTCACTGTACTCAAGTGGCCTCCACAGTCACCAAACCTCAATCCAATAGAGCACCTTTGGGATATGGTGGAATGGGAGATTCACATAATGGATGTGCAGCTGACAATTCTGCAGCAACTGCGTGATGCTATTATGTCAATATGGACCAACATCTCTGAGGAATATTTCCAGTACATTGTTGAATCAATGCCACAAAGTATAAAGGCAGTTCTGAAGGCAAAAGGGGGTCCAACCCAGTACTAGTTAGGTGTACCTAATAAAGTGGCTGGTGAGTGTAGGTTATTGAGATTGAAGTCATAATGTTTGTACTGTGACAACAATTGGCTCTTTTTTATTAAAATATTAATGTAAATTATATTTCATGACTTGACTCTGATAATGTAAATAATGCATTAAGTTGCTCACCTTTTCAAAAACCGAGTACTTGGCCACTTGAAAAAATGAAGGGAATTCAGGCAAGTCATGGTCAGCACCTTTGTATACTCTGATAAAGGTAAAGGAAAAGATCAGTTAAACAAGCACATCCAAATAAGAGAAGTGTTAAAGAAACAATGAACTATTGAACAGCTACTGACAGTGACAAAGAACAAAAGCACACCTGAATTTGCTAGCACGAGGTCCACCCTTCTCAAGAATCTCAACCTCTGCGTTTGGGAGATCAGGCTGACCTTTGAACTTATTTTTTTCTAGTATCTTGGTCGACACTATAACCCCTTTAAAGAGAAAGACAACAACATTGTTACATAGTTTAATCTCACTTAAATGTGCTTTAATCACAGCTGCAGTCTCAAATACATTTCTCAACCAAATGTAATGCAACATAAACATACAGTATACAAATACTGAACCACACCCTTTCAGCAAACACAGCTTAGCTACCATAGATACAATTTGCTTCAAACAAACATCTGTTCAAAAAAACTATGCAACACGTATTTGGTTGGTAAGTTAATAATTAATCTTCTAAACACAACTGCAGTCTGAGGAAGTGCTATGAATAAAAATCTAAGCCACACCTCATGTTCACATTACGCTAACATGACCACAGAAACAATCAGTGTTCATGAACTCCTACATGAGGAAGTTAAATCTCCTACTGTACCTGGAGAAGGGAGGGATTCATTGGTTGGATATGACAGCTGTGGGGTTAAATTATGCTCCGTCAAAGGCAGAAGATGTCCTTCATCCACACAACTCCACACATACTGCGTTCCAACCACCGGGATCTGGAGCTTCTGGATGCTGCGCTGCCTGTTACTGCTCAGGTCATTCACACTGCTGGTGACCACAAAAGAGCACTGGAGAAGATATAAGGAGGTCACATGCCACATATCAACCCTTTGATGACTCAATTTAGAAAATCAATATGAACATTATCTATACAAATCCTATGTTCTTATTGCAGCTAACTAAAAACAAAGTATAAAATGTTTTAAAACTTTTAAACAAAGCATAAATCGAATAATAGAAATCAAAAAATGAACCTCTTTGTTGATGGTGTAGGAGATGTTTCCTCCATTCTCCAGAAGAGCTGATTTCAGCTTCTGCTTCTCTTTAAAAGGCACATTCTTCACATCAAACACAACAGTACAGTTTTCAAACACTGTCATGATGCTGTCAGTGTCTGAACAAGAAGAGAAAAGAAAGACTGCAGTGAAACCTTATCAATCACACATGAGCTCTTTAAAATTACTATATTTCTTCTATTTTCTTGTTAACCCTAATTAATAAACACCTTTAAAATAGTACTTATTTAGCATGAAATACGTTAAATTATCCTTCTTTTTACTTAAAGACATGTCACAAATCCTAGTCAATGATCCAACTGCTGTTGCTATCTATCTCTCTTGATAGTTGTCATGTCATTAGCAGTCGAAAGAGCAACTTACTGTCTACGAAGTTAGACGAGCTGTGACACGTTAAGATTTTAGGAATATATAGCAATATGTACAGATAGCAGACACGAATGATTTGGTGTGTGAAGTTCAGTAAAGAAATGCTTCCTGAAATACAGTAAAGACACGCCTACATTCCCCTGAGATAACAACATATGACGAGCTCCATCCAGCGGCAGAATCCGACCTTGCTAAATTTGAAACTTGTTTTTAAAAATCCTTTAAATCAGATTAGGTTTGAGTTTTTTCTCTCTAAAGCTTTGGTTCTTTTTTTAAATCTTTAGAAACAAACAATACATCTATCGTGCTATGTTTTCCAGTACTGGGTTGCAGCTGGAAGGGCATCCTCTGTATAAAAAGTATGGTAGATAAGTTGGTGGTTCATTCCGCTGTGCCGACCCCTGATAAATAAAGGACTAAGCTGATGAAAAATGAATGAATAACAGTACAAATTTAGAGAATTTTGGGGAGATAAAAGAAAAGTTTGCAGTGAATTTCAACTGAATTATGAAATTCTTTAATTTCACAAATGTTAGTTGAGGATATTTGATCTTTTCACCTTTTTTTGCCTCACCTCAGTCTGCGTGTCAGTGTTAAACATTTTACGACTTTATGGTAGGTTACATTGTAACATGCTGATAACAGTCCAGTAAGTATATCAAAGGTCTTTGGATTGCTATAGCAAACATTTAAATAACTGATTTCATCAATAAAGAGACGCCTATGCAAATTTGAATGGCAACACCACGTTCAATATTTAAACAATTGTAATCGTTTTAAAAATAACCCAAATTACTTAATGAAACCCAATTTTATTTTCCACTTCTTGAACAGCGATCAGATTCAGCCTACTTCTGTTTAAAGCAATGGTTCATCCTAAATCATTTTAATAGTATTTTTAGGGGGCTCATTTTTATTTTCTTATTATAACATTAAATAATATTTGAGCTCAAATCGTGGTCTGGAGCTTTGAGAGTAAAAAAATGCAACAAAACAACAGGCTCATATATCATATTAAACTGAAATTGATTTGTTTTGTGCAAGAGACTGAATGGCCCATTGATCACATAGAAATGTAATGCATTGTTTATTACAATGTAGGCCTAAAGGAGAAGGACAATAGGAGTTCTAGATTATGCATTTTAGGTAATGTAATCTGACAACATTCTTAATTACCTTTGATTAATTAACTTGATTCTTAATCTCATCAAATAGATTAATAAAGAAAATAAATTAATTAAGCTAAAATTGTCCGTAGTATATGTGTGAATGAGTAAATGAGAGTGTGTGGATGTTTCCCAGTGATTGGTTGCAGCTGGAAGGGCATCTGCAGCAAAAAACATGTGCAGGATGATTTGGCAGTTTATTCCGCTTTGGCGACCCCAGATTAATAAAGGGACTCAAAAAAAATATGAAAAAAATATGAATGAATGAATGAATAATTCACATACATCAAAGCACACACAATATTTTTTCGAAACCACAAATTAACCTTGATTTTGCTACAAAAACAGTTGTTACTCATGGTATTTGTTGTCAAATCAAGGTTACTATTAACTAACATAAAACCTTTAAAAATTCATGAATTTAAAATTAAAACTTTTCATAAATCACTGTTACATGTATTTTATTTAATATCTATAAACTTTGATTAACATGTTATGCTGCTTATAATTTACCCTGCTTAACAATTTATCTTGGGAATTAATGCAAAATCATTCACACTGTACATTCCTTAACACTGGCTTAACATTCTCATTTGCATGCATTGTTAGTGGCTATGACTGGATGAATGCAGCATACAAATTCACATAAAATCTAGTTAAAAAGTTAAACAAAGCTTAATAGTGGTTTAATAGTGTACAGACAAAACCCACATACACACATTTAGAATTAACTGTTCAATATATTTGTATAAATTTGGGCAGTTTATTCTTGCATAATCACAGCTGAATTTTCAGGATTATTACTTACATAGTCTTACATAGTCTTTGAGCCGCATGACACTTCTGATTGGTAATCTGATGGGTTGTTATATCATCAGTGTATAAAAACAGATGTGCTGTGTGGTACTTTTTTTTGCTTTAACTGGTATATTTGTTCAGTATTCTTTGATGTATGGAAAGCAATAAACAACATATATTTAAATGAATAGAAATTGTTGATATCAGTGGTGTAGTCCTAAAAAAAAGGTGGTGTACTATTACCGACCCAACCCAAATTTTAAATAAAAGTATACAGGCAAGGAAACGAGTGTTCAACTGGTAAAGGTTGAGTAAATTATTTTTTGGGTGGACTATCCATTTAAAAAGGAAAAATATTTAAACTTTATTTAAATTTTTTTTTAACTTTAAAGTAAGAATCTAATAGTCTAATTCTATTCAATGATTTATAGCTAACAGTGCCCCCGGGTGCCACGGTGGAGCAGTGAGTAGCACCATCACCTCACAGCAAGAAGGTTGCTGGTTTGAGCCTGGGTCAGTTAGCATTTCTGTGTGAAGTTTGCATGTGGGTTTCCTCCGGGTGCTCCGGTTTCCCCCACAAATCCAAAAACGTGGTATGGGTGATTTGGGTAAGCTAAATTGTCTGTATAGTAAATGAGTGTGTATGGATATTTCCCAGTCATGGGTTGCGGCTAGAAGGGTATCTGCTGCGTAAAACGTGCTGGATAAGTTGGCGGTTCATTCCGCTGTGGCGACCCCAGATTATAAAGGGACTAAGTCAGAAGAAAAAGAATGAATAAATGAATAAATGAATAATCCAGAGATCCAGAGATTGGCTGACTATATTTAGCTGGTAAAACAAAACTGTTCAACTCTATAGGGACTTGTAAAATGAGCCTATTTCTAAATATATATTTTTTATTTATTTTAAAACTGTACAAAAAAATCATGTTTTAAGGCATCCATATCAAGTATTATATGTTGTTAACATAAACTGTAAATTTTAAATAAAAATCAGGAAAACAAAAGCAAAGCACACTTCTTTAAAAACTCAAATAAGCTGCACTAGCTTATTTAATCATTTTAATATTGAAAAAAGAATCAATCAAGTAAGTTACAACAATTTAGTTAACTTTCAAGTTTACTCAATAGGGTCTGTTCATACATAAATAAACAGCTTTTTAACTTACTTTCTTTACTATTACTTTACATTTAATAGGCGGCTCCTTCAAACATCAATCAGCCATTATGTTTGATTGTCACATTTGTGCATGCTTGTTTTAAACCAAGCTAATAGGAGTCTAGATATAACACTAAAAACAATAAAGCAAAGACAACTCATAAATCATGTAAAAATATCCGTTCTTTCCCTGTAGTGGTGGGCACAATTACAAATACTGTTTAACAGAATTTCATTCATTTTTATTTTCTTGTCGGCTTAGTCCCTTTATTAATCCAAGGTCGCCACAGCTGAATGAACCGCCAACTTATCCAGCAAGTTTTTACGCAGCGGATGCCCTTCCAGCCGCAACCCATCTCTGGGAAACATCCACACACTCTCATACACTACGGACAATTTAGCCTACCCAATTCACCATGTCTTTGGACTGTGGGGGAAACCAGAGCACCCGGAGGAAACCCACGCGAACGCAGGGAAAACATGCAAACTCCACACAGAATATATATATATTAAGTTAGAATTTAAAAATAATACACTTTAAAATATTTGACTATTATGGCAAGGTTGTAGCAGTATTCCACTGTATTGTATAGACTGGCATACACACATGTGTGTGTGTGTGTGTGTGTGTGTGTGTATATAAGCATAATAGTTTACAGCCTCCTTACCCTTTGTGTATTACTCCACCCAAATACATCCAGCAAAAAACCAACCTTTAAAGTTTAAAATATGCTTGCTCAGCTGTTAAACTGTCAGCTTATGATTTGAATCCAACGCGGAAGAAAGTAGTTCTTCATACAAAAGGGTTTTTGAGACCCTGAATGTTTGATTTTGTTTTTATATACACAATTATGGTTGTCAAACTGCTGTATAAACGCAATATCACACTCGTAGCAGTGGACATGCGGCCTCGTCATAAACGGCCTCGTGATAAACAGCCATATCAGGCAGAACATGCAAACTCCACACAGAAATGCCAACTGAGCCGAGGTTCGAGCCAGTGACCCAGCGACCTTCTTGCTGTGAGGTGACAACACTACCTACTGCGCCACTGCCTCGCCCTATATATATATATATATATATATATATATATATATATATATATATATATATATTTTATTTTTTTATTTTTTAAGTTAGAATTAAAAAATAATACACTTAAAATGTGTATGGAACTGTATTCCACTGTATTGTATAGACAGGCATAGCCATTTGAGTTCTGAATGAGCCAAATAGGCTTATATGTAAACATATTTGTTTCTGACATATATGGGGCATACATGTTTCTGGCATATGTTTGGACATTTATGTTTCTGACATAAATAAGACTTGTTCTTAGTCAGAATTATTAGCCCCCCTGAATTATTAGTGCCCCTGTTTTTTTTTTCTCCCCAATATCTGTTCCCAATTTATTTCCCCAATTCAGCACATTTCTAAGCATAATAGTTTTAAAAACCTATTTCTAATAACTGATTTATTTTATCTTTGCCATGATGACAGTAAATAATATTTTACTTCATATTTTTCAAAACACTTCTATACAGCTTAAAGTGACTTTTAAAGGTTTAACTAGGTGAATAAGGTGAACTAGGCAGGTTAGGGTATTAGCCAAGTTATTGTATAACGATGGTTTGTTCTGTAGACTATCGGGAAAAAAATAGCTTAAAGGGGCTAATAATTTTGTCCCAAAAAGGGTTTTTAAAAAATTTAAAACATACTTTGAAAATTTCCTTGCTCTGTTAAACATAATTTGGGAAATATTTATAAAAGAAAAAAAAAATCAAGTGTTATACATGTAGGGGACATATATGCTTCTTGCATATGTGTGGATATACTGTATGTTTCTGACATGTTTAAGACATGTGTGTTTTGGATATAAGGACAAATATGTTTCTGACATATATGGTAAATATATGTGCTGTACATGTAGAGGACATATATGTTTCTGGCATATATGGGACAAGTGTTGTAGGGGACATATATGTTTCTTGCATATATAAGGACATATGTTACTGACATATATGGGACATAAATGTGTTTTACATATATGGACATATATGTTTCTGGCATATATAGGACATAAATGTGTTTTACATATATGGACACACAGTTGAAGTCAGAATTATTAGCTCCGTGTTTATTTTTCCTCCCAATTTCTGTTTAACGGAGAGCAGATATTTTTCAACACATTTCTAAACATATTCATTTTAATAACTCATTTCTAATAACTGATTTATTTTATCTTTGCCATGATGACAGTAAATAATATTTGACTAGATATTTTTCAACACACTTCTCTACATCTTAAAGTGACATTTGAAGGCTTAACTATGTTAATTAGGTTAGCTAGGCAGGTTAGGGTATTTAGGCGAGTTATTATATGATGATGTTTTGTTCTAGAGTATCGGGAAAAATAGATTAAAGGGGCTAATAATTTTGACCTTAAAATAGTTTTTAAAAAAATTAAAAAATGCTTTT